GGGCGGGACTGACTTTATGATACCCTACACCACTTTGCTAATTTAATAGAGCTCCGCATAACAATTAAAAGTTTTCATGGGAGAATTCAATTATAAACGCTATGATTATAATTATAATTTCAAGTTCAAATGACTAAATATGCCGAAGCATTTGTGTCTTTTAAATTCGGTCATGTATTGACCATTTGGTGCACAATTAATTTGAAATCGGATAAAGATATATATGGGAGCCATATCCAAAACTGAACCGATCGCGTTAAAATTTGGCAAAGATATTTCTGAGCTATATTACATATATTTCCCTGAATATCGTTGTTACGGAGTGCATATTACGGTTGTGGGTAACAAATATAACAAATCGGATGAACAAATGGGAGCTATAGCTATATCTGAACCGATCTTCACCAAATTTGGCATGCTAGCTTCTAGACTCAATTCGGTAAGTATGTAAGTGCCAAATTTCATCCCATTTGGGCAAATATTAGACGTTTGGTGCACAATGAAATGTAAATCGGACGAAGTTATGTATGGGAGCTATATCCAAATCTGAACCGATCTCGATAAAATTTAGCAAACGTATTTTTGAGCTGTATTTGATATATGTCCCCAAATATTGTTGTTACAGAGTGCATGTTACGGCTTCGGAGGACAAAAATACCAAATCGGATGAACAATATATATGGGAGCTACAGCTATATCTGATCTGATTTCGATCATATAATAAATGCGACCTGCATTTTGTTCACAAGAATACATGGACAGACGATCGGACATGCATAAATCGACTCAGAATGTGATTTTATGCAAATCATCAAAAGGAACTATGGGTCTATCTCGTTTCCTTTAGCCTGTTACAAACAAATGCACAAAGACATATTACCCTTACAACTATGTGGTGTAGGGTATAAAAATCAATCGGTTTTGCCGACAGGCAACATTCGATTATTGAAATATGTTTTGACTTCTGTTTTGATTATTCAAATTATTGACACTCTATGGAGTGGGTTTTGGAGGAATGCGCCATTATTGTCCATTTCGTATGGGACTTCTTACTTCCCTCACTTTTTATGAGATATGTGTCATTATTTAAAAAATGTTAAAATGTGCGTGAGGTACCAGATTCCATTTCATTTTCATACTTCATACTAATACAGACAAAAATATTGGTATGGGCAAAACTACAAGTAAATCGAACATTTATATCTAATTTCATGCGAAATCATAAATTCTACATTCGTATCAGGTTTCTGGTTGAGAGGAATATTAATGTTATGACAGATAAAAGTATAGAAAATTGCGACCCTGGGTGGGTGAGATACCAGAAGAGGTTCACAGATATATATTATCTTCAAAACATATCATGAGTTAGCAAAAATGTTTGTATGTGTGAAATTTTAAGAGAGCTGGAGGCTTATTCCGCTTTTTTGAGCCTTTTGGTTTTTCAAAATCGTGTATCCTATGTGGGGGAGGTATATATTTGGCTGTTTGTAATTTGTAACATTTTGTAAGAATTATAATTATTCAAAATGTTGACCCTTTGTAGGGGAGGTACTTGATAGAGTGGACCGATTTGTCCATTTTTGCACCTGACCTAAAACTGATGCAAATATTAGTTTATGCAAAGTAGGAGCAAAATCTCGAAAATCTTTATCTCCAAACTCGATCTAAGATTAATAATAATATTACGATGTGCCGAGTTGGACCGAATCGGATGATTCGATAAAGTTGTCGTGCGCATCTGCCAGCCAGACAGACAAAGAGACAGGCGGACGGACGGACATCGCTAGATCGACACCAAATGTCCTGAATCGGATTTGATCCAAAGAGACCAAAGGACTAAAACCGTTATTTTGATGAAGCACGTTTAGGCCGTATCAAATGATATATACCCTCCGTAACCAATTATAATCTAACATAACAAGAAGGAGGTACCCAATAAAATTCGACTTAAGTGATTTTTATTTTTGAAAAATATAGACTTTTATGAGGGAGGTACCAAAAGGAGTAATTCGATATTTACCATCTTCGAAATTAGAAAAAATCGAATACTACCTTCGAGAGCTATCGTGCTAATTAATCAGGCAGGTGGCTAAATCGACTTCAAATGTCATAATTCGTATCAAAAACCTTTATTTTTATAAGACCTATTTTGCAGATCATAGCCTCGTAAACAAATTGGTTTGGAGTTAAATGGATGCTATTGCAACCCCTGAAATTTTATTTCCAATTACTCCCACACTTTAGTACCACAAAGTGGCTAGGTCTTCAAAAACCTTAAAACCGAGCGGTGCCTCCACATGAGGGACAATTTAGTGGGAAATTTTAAAATATGCATCTTTAAATTATTGCGAAATATATAACATTTGATACAACCCAAAACTGCATCATCGAAGTAACGGTAGATATTTTACTGCACAGAAAGAGAAAGAATAATCTGCTTTTGCTCCAACTTTGCAAATCTGAAAATTTCCATCAGTGCTAGGTCAGGTGTGACGATGGACAATATCGGTCCACTCCAACAAAGCGTCAAAATTTTGAATAATTATAACTCTTATAAAATGTTATGTAAGAGTCCGATTGTCTTCTAATTACACACATAACAATATTTTTACCAACCCAAGGTCTGGTGTGAAGATGGGACATATCGGTCCACTTCTTCTGGTACCTCCACCACGAAGGGCCAACATTTTGAAAATCTTTGTAGCTCATAACACGCGAAATTAATATCCGTTTCCATTCAGACTTTGTACATCTCAATATTTCCATCAACACAAGACCTGTTATAAAGATTATAGAGATCGGACGTCTGATACCTCCCCGATAAAGGTTCAACATTTTAAATAAATATAACCCATATAAAATCCGACATAAGCATCCGGTGCTCTTCATATTTCAAGCATATCACTATTTCTACCAAAACAGGATCTGCTGTGAAAATGGGATATATCGGTCAACTCCTTCTGGCACCTCCCCCACTAAATGTCAACATTTTGAATATCCATAAAGCCCATTAAACACGAAATTAACATCCGATTCCATTCAGACTAAGTACATCTCAATATTTCCATTAACACAAGATCTGCTATAAAGATGGAAGGTATCGGACCATTTCGTCTGGTACCTCTCCCATATAGGGTTCAAGATTTTGAAAAACAAAAATTTCAAAGAAAGCGAAATTAGCATCTCACTCTTTTCATATTTCGCACATAGAAATATTTTTCCTAACAAAAGATCTGTTGTGAAGATAATATATATCTGCTAACCCCTTCTGGTACCTACAAAGGATCACAATTTTCAATGTTTTTATCTCCCATTCAACCAGAAACCTGAGATGAACATGGAATTGATGGTTTCGCGTAAAATTGGATATAAATGTTCGATTCTCTTGTTATTTTTCCCATACCGAAATTTTTATCTGTATTAGATGAAGTATGAAAATGGAATACTTCGGTCGACTATATCAGGTACCTCACGCAAATTTTAACCTTTTCTTAAAATGATTACATATATCATATGAAGTGAAGGAATAACCAATATAGTCCGAACATAGACCGTCACAATATTTGTATCATATTTAGTTAGGTCCAATCTGAAATGGACAATATTACCCCTTTCGGTTGGAACCTACTCCACAGAGGGTCAATAATTTGAATAATCATAACCAAAGTCAAAATATATTTAAATCGAACATTGGCTGAGGATATACATCTATCTGCAAAACCGACTAATAATTTTTAAATGTTTTTCTTTATCTCAAGGTGGAACTATTCACATTCGTAATTTTCGCCTTTCAGGAAGATCTTCTATGTAAAAAATACCTCAGACGGAATCAGGGAGAAGGAGGCATACAAAGTCTACCAATTGTAAGATTTTCTAAGGATCTTTTCTTCCCCATATAAAACTGGTCTAAATATATTGTAAACATATTTTTTTTAACTCTCAAAAATATAGTACGTAGGCTATGCTTCGTCCCTTGTCCTTGTTCACTAAAATTTAGCAGATCATGACATTTTGTCTGCAAGTTTTATGGAATTTTGATGAGATTTATCTACCAACATTTGGTTGATAACGTGTTCTCCATACCTTCGGCTTTGACAATGCTTTCCAAAGAAGTTGATGTAATTTTAAAATTGGTCCTCAATCGGATGCAGCCCTCTTTTACGCTTAAGTCCGAATTTAGGTATTTTAAATGTTTCGACCAAACGGAAATTCTAAAAAACGTTCTTTTAAGTTCCCAACAAATATTTAAATTTCCTAAAAGAAATCGAAATCGTTCCACGTTTTAACAAGGCCCCAAATTATAGGTATTTTAGTATTTTTCCAACGAAATTCTGCATAATTTGGAATTTGGAACCGTGAAGGTATTTGTCAGCTATGTCCAAGTTGGTAAAGACCTACAAACAGTTTCGACAATTTTGAAGCTGTCTACCAATCTTTTCAACGGTACTTTGTGCAAAACCCTCTAACGGTCGATATAGGTCTACGATTTGATTAAAACCATACACAACAGCTTCCCCGGCTTTTAAGCTTTTAAGTTTTAATTTTGTGTTCGACTTAACAATTGTAGTTTATTTTCCTAGCACAAAGTGTTCATAGGCCCATGTTACCATATAGTCTTCATATTACGATACAAACAAACATTCGGTATTTTGAAACTATAATTTTTCCTATCCGTTTTTGGGATGATGATAGACATAACAGCATCATCATATCTCGAAGTAAAACCGCCGCAATGAATTATGTCTGACCTTCCTCAAACATAAGCTAAATTTTAATATATTTGTAATCAATGTGTAATATTTAAAAGATAATATATTACATAAAATTCTGAACCATGGATTGAAATTGATGAGAATAATGAGACTGGAAAATGATTTTTTACAAACAACTACAATTAACTACAAACATAAGCTATATATTCACATTGAAAACGCCAATCTCTCTGAATTATTAGGAATTTGGAAAATTTAAGTATCCTTAAATTTAATTAATTTTCAAATTTTCTTTTGGAAGAATGACCATAATTTTTGAATATTTTTCTGACTATTGACTACTCAAACGATAAAAAAGAAGAAGAAGAAAACAACAACTAACGGATATGCAGTGTGAACTTTTTCAAGCAACATGTGGTGGTGGCAATGTTATTGAGTTTATGATTGTTGCTGTTGTTGTTGTTATTATTATTGTTGTTGTTGCTGCTAATATTTTTGTTCAGACAGATGTTGCTGTGGTGACACTTTTGTGGCATTTTAGATGCGTACCTATCATTTGAAGCGGTGCGTTTCGTGATGTCCGTCGTCGACAGGCTAATGGGGCGATAATGGGCTCGACGACGCGCCAACAATGGCACCAACTCGACACCATTACCATTGGTGGTAATCGTCGTGGTATCGCCGCATTGACGATTTGTGGGATGAGCGCTATTATCCGTCGTTGTGTCAGCCGTGGCGGCCGGTTTGTTGTGGCGCATTAGTCGTGGGCAGATTTTGGGTTTCGCATCGCTGGCTGTTGTTTTTGCTGGTGCAGGGGGTTTTTGTAGCGGTTTAATGGGACTACTGGTCATGGCAGGACATTTACAGGTGCACATGTCACAACAACGGGTGGCTTTTCGAGTCGCTCGGGATTTACGAAATGTTGGCTTTTCAGCTGGGGTAACCGGATTATCCTGATCCAAGTCTTTCAACATTTCTTTGTTGGTCCAACCCTGGAATGGGAATATAGAAAATAATTTTATAATAATGTTGAATAAGAAACAAAAAGATCAAATAAATTAAAATTTTAGGAATTAATTTTAAATTTAATTTAAATTTTTGAAAGAAAAGTCTATTAAATTACAAATTTTTAATACCAGTTTTAACTGGCGGAGAAAAATCTAAAATATTTGAAAAAAAATACTTTTATTTAAATTATATCTCAACATTGTTCGAAAACTTAAAAAATCGGATTTTTCATAGTTTTAATCTAAAATCAGCAAAACTTGAAAATATCGGATTTTCCATAGTTTTAATCTAAAATCAGCAAAACTGAAAAATATGGCGCCCAACGGTAAGTTTGAATTTACATACTAATATTGTTTTTATAAAATCTTTGTCAGAAATTTATATAAAACAGGGTTTCTATTCATTTTAGCCCATCCGAAAATATGGCGCTCAACGTTGGACTTTATTGACCTATTAATGATGTTCAATAAAACCCTTGTCGAGATACTCGAAAAATATGACTTTCAAAGGTGAATTTGAGTTGAATATAAAATATTATACAGGGAAATATAGAAAATAGGTTTCCCATAATTTTATGCCCACATTGAGACACTCTAAAAATATGGCGCCCAATGGTAAATTTTTTTATGACATATTAATGTTGTTTTTATAAAATCTTTTCCAGAGACCTATGAAAAACAGGTTCTCTATTCAATCCGAAAATATGGTCCCCAACGTTGGTCTTGATTAGCCTACTAATGACGTTCATTTAAGCCCATCCTCAATAAGCCCCAGCTCAATTTCGAAGATGGCCTATATTGGACCACGATATCGTATAGCCATCATATAACGGTACCATACCATATTTTGATGATTGTAGTCTAATTTATGACTAAAAGTCCTGATATGTCTGAAAATCCAATAAAAGAAGTTCCTTCTCAGTACTTTACCCTCTGGAAGGGTATTGTCCACGATATCGTATATCCCCCATATAACGGTACCTCCCGATATTCGGTATTTTGATGATATTAGCTTCATGTTTCAGTGGAATTGTCTAAAAATCTATACTAGAAGTTCCTTCTAGGCACTTTACTCCCTGAAGGAGAAATGTCGATATTGGGCTACATATCGGTATTTTGATGATATTAGCTACATGTTCCAGTGGAATTGTCTAAAAATTGGTACTAGAAGTTGCTTCTAAGCACTTTACCCCCTGGAAGAGAAATGTCGATATTGGGCCATTATATCGTATAACCCACACACAACGGTACTTCCCGATATTCGATATTTTGACGATTTTATTGACACTATTCACCGGAGTTGTTTTAAATTTGGTATTTGAAGTTCGTAATGGATACTACAGCCTAAGACAGAAAATTGTCTGTGCAGGTCCACCTCTTCGTAAAGCCCCCATATAACGGTACCTGCCCATATTCGGAATTTTAATGATTTTAAGGACGTTTTTCACCAGAATTGTTTCAAATTTGATATATGAAGTTCGTAATGGATACTACAGCCTACGACAGAAAATTGTCTATGCAGGTACACGTCTTCGTATAGCCCCCATATTACGGTACTTTCCAATATTTAGTATTTTGGTGATTTTAGTGACATTTTTAACCGGAATTGTTTTAAATTTGGTATTTAGAGCACGTAATGGGAACTATAGTCTGTGACAGAAAATTGTTTATGTAGGTCCAGGTCTTCGCATAGGCCCCACATATCATTACCCCCAGTACCCCCCTATATTCGATATTTTGACGATTTTAGGTACTATATTCACCGAAATTGTTTGAAATCTCGTATATGAAGTTCCTAATAGATGCTACAGCCTGTGACAGAAAATTGTCCAGGTCCAGGTTTTCGTATAGCCCTGATATAACGCTACCTCCCTATATTCGGTATTTTGATGTTTTTAGCGACATTATTCACCGGAGTTTTTTCAAATTTCGTATTTAGAGTTCGTACTGGGAATTACAGTCTATGCCAGAAAATTGTCTATGAAGGTCCTGATCTTCGTATAGGCCCCATATATCAGTACCTTCCTATATTCGGTATTTTGATGATTTTAGCGACATTATTTACCGAAGTTGTTTCAAATTTCGTATTTGAAGTTCGTACTGGGAACTACAGTCTATGCCAGACAATTGTCTATGAAGGTTCTGGTCTTCGTATAGGCCCCATATATCTGTACCTCGCAATATTCGATATTTTGACGATTTTAGATAAAATATTCACCGAAATTGCTTGAAATTTCGTATTTGAAGTTCCCAATAGGTATGACAGCCTATGGCAATTGTCTATGCAGGTCCATATCTTCGCATAGCCCCTATATAATAGTACCTCTCAATATTCGGTATTTTAATGAATTTAGCCATATTATTCATCGGATTTCTTTCAAGTTACGTATTTAAATATTGTTATGGTTTATGACAAAATTTGTTTATGCAGGTCCACGTCATCGTATAGACCCCAATATAATGGCTATATTCGTTTTTTAAAGATTTTAACAGAACTTTTGACGGATTTTATTTATTTATTTGTTTGTTAATTTCTAAAATCTTTCCACATGGTGGAGGGTATTCAAAGCTCGGCCTTGTCGATATTACTGCTTTTTTACTTGTTTTATGTAAAACAAGCTTCCCATTAACAATTTTGCAACAACAAAAAAGGTTTTCCAATTATTTATGGCCATATTGAGAAGCTCTGAAAATATATCTCTTCCAGGGAACCCTTTTTTTAGACCATTTCAAGATGCCCACAAAATATGGCGACCGACGGGTAACTTGAATTGACTTATGAGCGATGGATTTTGAAATAATTTCCAGAAACTTATTTAAAGCGGATTTAATATTCATTCAAGTCAATAGTGACACACCCCCCCTATGGCGCCCAAGGTGAACTTTAAACAAATGAATTTCTGACTTTCACTCCAAAAAATTGGCTCCCAAAGGTAAAATTGAACTTGAGATTTATCAAAATTTAGGATTTTTATAAATTTAAGCCTTCATTGAGAATCTCCCAAAATATGGCGCCCAACGATGAACTAGTATTGCCCTTTTAATGTTTTTATAAAATCTCATTCATAGACTTATGGAAGAGAAGATTTATTTTAATTTAAAATTTCTTTTCTCTAAAATTTAACTATGACCTTGAATCAGTGTATTATAGAAACTTTCACAAAGACTTATGGAAAACATCGTTTCTGTTCAAGTCCAATCGAGAAACTCAGAAATATGGCGCCCAAGGCCTTCCTTGGGAAACGACTTTTTAGTTATTTTTATATAAAATTTCTTCAAGAGACTTATGGAAGACAGGCTTTCTATTAACCTACATCGGTGTAACTTTCTGGAGCTCATATCGAAAAACTTGAATTGGCCTATGAAATTCCTCGCAGAGTCTTGTGGAAATCCTGTTTTTTTATTCATTTAACCCTGAATCAAGAAACTCCCAAAATATGGCGCACAACGGTGAACTTGAATTGTCCTTTTTGTGACGTAATTTTAAAATCTCTTCCATTGACCAATGGAAAAGAGAATTTCTTATTTAATCCCCTATCGAGACTCGGATAATATGGCTACCAATTATTATCTTGAATTGACCAAAGAATTCCCCCTAATAATCTTGTAGAAATTCGGAAACTCTCAGCGAAGAGTTTCAAGAGACTTAATAAAGACAGGCTTTCTATTAATTAAAGCCCATGTCAAATAACTCACAAAATATGGCGCCCAACGGTGAAACTTTCTATTATTAGAGCACATATGGAAAAACTTGAATTGACCTATGGAATTCCTCCAGAGTTTTGTGGAAAATTCAGTTTTCTACTCATTTCAGCCTAAAATAAAACTCCAAAATATGGAGTCCAAGAAAGTCCCAAAACATGGCGCCCAACGGTGAACTTGAAATGACCCATGAAATTCCTCCCAGAGTCATGTGAAAATCCGGTTTTCTATTCATTTAACCCCAAATCAAGAAACTCCCAAAATATGGCGCCCAATGGTGAACTTTAATGACCCATGAAATTACTCCCAGAGACTTGTGGAAATCCGGGTTTCTATTCAATTAAACCTAAATCAAGGAACTCCCAAAATATGGCGCCCAATAATGAACTTGAATTGAATCACGAAATTCCTCTCAGAATCTTGTCGAAATCCGGTTTTCTATTCATTTAAACCTGAATCAAGAAAATCCCAAGAAACGCCCAATGATGAACTTGAATTTATCCATGAATTTCCTCCCAGAGTCTTGTGGAAATCCGGGGTTCTCTTCATTTAACCCCAAATCAAGAAACTCCCAAAATATGGCGCCCAATGATGAACTTGAATTTTTCCATGAATTTCCTCGCAGAGTCTTGTGGAAATCCGGTTTTCTATTCATTTAACCTTGAATCAAGAAACTCCCAAAAAATTTGCGCCCAATGGTGAACTTGAATTTACCCACGAAATTCCTCCCAGAGTCTTATGGAAATCCGGGGTTTATTCATTTCAGCCTGAATCAAGAAACTCCCCAAATTTAGCGCCCAATAGTTAACTTGAATAGACCCATGAATTTCCTCCCAGAGTCTTGTGGAAATCCGGGGTTCTCTTCATTTAACCCCAAATCAAGAAACTCCCAAAATATGGCGCCCAATGGTAAACTTGAATTGATCCACGAAATTCCTATCAGAGTCTTGTGAAAATCCCGTTTCTACTCTTTTAACCCCAAATCAAGAAACTCCCAAAAATTGGCGCCCAATGGTGAACTTGAATTTACCCATGAAATTCCTCCCAAAGTCTTATGGAAATCCGGTTTTCTATTCATTTCAACCTGAATGAAGAAACTTCCAAAAAATTGGCGCCCAATGGTTAACTTGAATTGACCCATGAAATTCCTCCCAGATTCTTGTGGAAGTCCGGTTTTCTATTCATTTAATCCTGAATCAAGAAAATCCCAAGGTGAACTTGAATTTACCCATGAATTTCCTCCCAGAGTCTTATGGAAATCCGGGGTTCTCTTCATTTAACCCTAAATCAAGAAACACCCAAAATATGGCGCCCAATGGTGAACTTGAATTGACCCATGAAATTCCTTCCAATGTCTTGTGTTAATCCGGTTTTTTATTAATTTAAACCTGAATCAAGAAACTCCCAAAATATGGCGCCCAATAGTGAACCCACGAAATTCCTCCCAGAGTCTTGTGGAAATCCGGTTTTCTATTCATTTAAACCTGAATCAAGAAAATCCGAAGAAAAAAAAATCCCAAAAAACTTGAAAATATGGCAGCCAAGGGTGAATTTGAATAGACCTATGATTCAGGTATTGACAAAGTACCCTTCAAGGCTTTTAGATAAATAGGTCTTCTCTTAGTTTAAGCCCCCAATCGAGAGACTCTGAGAAAATGGCAACCAACCATGAACTTGATTGTACTTTATCCAATCTCTTCCAAAGACATCTAGAAAAAAGGTTTACTATTCATACCCATTTTGAAAAATTTCGAAAATCTGATGTGCAGCGGGGAACATGGTATGACCTATTAATAATATCTCTTTCCAGGACTTATAGGGAAGGAGTTCTCTTCCTTTAAGTCCATCTGGCTAAATTCCAAAATATGTCTCCCAATCATGAGAAACTTTTAATAAATTCAATTTAATTTTCCACTTACCAACGATTTCATAAACGTTGTTCCCACCGACTTGGGACTGCGCCATGGTTTCCCACCCGGTCCCGGTTTACCCCAGGGATCTTTGCTGGCCTACAAATAAACACACAAAATATATGACGAAAATTGGGAGAGAAAAAACGGGAAGAAAGAAAACACAAGCACAACAAAATAATATCACAAGCGTACACACATGCATGCAGTAATCCATTCTCACCGGTTTTTCAATTTTCTCCAGTGTTTTCTTTTGCTTCAAACCATGTGGTCCCACCGCAGCCGGACAATGTTGCGTCTTACCCACATCTACAATGGGACATTTATCACTTTCGGTGACGACAATTTTCTCCAACATTGGTTTACCCTTACCGGCCGCCGTAGGTTTATAACGGACCTCAATGTCCACGTGACCTTTATTACGAAACGACATTGAGGGATGATCTTTTAAGGTGATATGTAAGCTTTCGGCATTCTTACCGCCGACAGCAGGTGCACCACCACCAGCACCTCCACCACTGGTAGCTGTTGTGGGTATATCACGATCGCATAGGGTCACCATACTGGTGGCTCCACCTATTACCGGCCGATCGGGTACATGTTGCACGGTGTGGGTGTGTGTGGTTAAACGCGGCACCGAATGATGATGATAGTGATGCGGATGATAGGCAGCCATTGGGTCGAAACATCGTTTGTGTTTTAGAAAGTAGTCACTGAAACGGCAGGGTGGCAGTGAAGCCAGGCGGTGTGTTGTACTCTGAAATGGAAGGAATGTAGGATAACATTTGGTAATTCAATACGTGTACTATAATTGATCAAAAAGTAGTGTGTGGTACTAAATTGGGTATTGGGAGAAGGGATAGAGTCGGAATGCCCAAATTCGATATTGAGATCTCTGTTGATATCTGTGATTGAGATATGGTGGTGTTTTGAGAAATATATACTACAACGAAAAGTACTAAATTGTACTAAATTTCGTTTTGTTGAAGGGATACAGATACCTTTCTTTAAATTTTTGATGAAATCTGTGTTTGAGATTTGTCAAAAGTTTTGGAAATGTGTACCATAATTGTTCGAAAAAGTACTAAGTAGTACTAAATTTGGTATTAGGTGAAGGTATTTAAATAAAATCCTGACATTTGATAAGCATGTCACTGTTGGTGTCTGTGGTCAAGATATGGAGGTGATTTTGGTAATGTGTCCCATAATCGTTCGAAAAGTACTAAGTGGTACTAAAATGGGTATTGGGTCAAGGGATATTCAAGGAATTTGAAATCCGACATTAAGGTCTCTGTAGGTGTCTTAGATTTAGATATGGAAGAGGTTTTGCATATGTGTACTACAATTGTACGGAAAAGTACTAAATAGTACTAAATTTGGTATTGGGTGAAGGGATAGAGATAAAATTCTGAAATTTGATACTTAGATTACTGATCATATCTGTGTTTAAGATTTGGCGGTAGTTTTGGAATTGCATACAATATTTTATATTGAGATTATCGTCGGTGTTTAGGATTGAGATATGACACGATTTTGCAAATGAGTACTAAAATTATACAAAAAGTACTAAATGTAACTAAATTCGGTAATAAATGGTACTAATTATACCCTCAGCCATATGACTACAGAGGATATGCAGTGTGAGATAAAAAACTGCAACAAACATTTTTTTTTTAAATTTTAAAGAATGAAGGCAAAAATTATCGGAAATAGCATCCAATTTTAGAATAAGTTTAGATTTGTTCGAATTGGTCATCTTTGGCACGAATTATGGCCTTCAAATGGCCAATAAAACCCTCACACGCTGCCAGAATGTTTCTCTGCGGTATTGTGGCCCATTTCCGGAGTAGCTCTTGCTTGGGGTGATCGACACTTTGGTATTTTTTAGTGCCAACCTTGCTTTCCAAAATACTCCAGACACAATAATCCGACGGATTGGTATCTGGATATTTTGATGGCCATTGTGCACTGGAAATGAAGCGAGGAACCTCATTTTGTAACCATTCTTGGGTGGCGCGTTCTAAGTGCGATGGTGCTGAGTCCTGTTGGAATGTCCAAGGTCTGCGGCCAAAATGTTTGCGTGCTCCAGACTTTAATACCCTCCACCCTCCAGAATATTTTCGCCATAATATTCGGCATTTATTCTGATGCCACGGTCTTTTAATACGAACGGAAAGCAACCATCGGCTATTATGGCGGTCCACACCATCACCATGGCCGGCGCTGAAGTTGACAACCGAAGGTGCACATTTTCAGCTGACCTCTTTGGCAAGTAAACACGATAATTTTGTTTGTTTACAAACTGCTGGACAACGCATGTCTTCTCATCGGAGAAATCCAAATTCGGCGAAGCGAAGCCACTCTTTAGCTCTCTTGAGTCAATTTTCTTTTTGTTCCGGTGTAATTTCTTTCCCTTTTTGGAATCTCAATGGCTTACCCCGAGCTCATTTTTCAATATTTGCCGAATGGAATATTGCGAGCTGAACATAGCTCACGAGCCATTTTTAGGCCACTGCGACGTGGGTCTCGATCAAGTCGCTTCTTTACTTTTCGAACCATTTATGCTGTTGTTGCCGTTTTCTTCCTTCGACTTCCTTGAAGTCGGGCTACGCTACCAGTATCACGGTAACGAGCGATAGTACGATACACAAAAGATTTATTCACATTTAAATGATGGAGTTCTCTCGATAGCCACTTGTGGTTTCCCAGCCAAATATAAAGAAATCGCACTATCACGCTTGAATTCCATCACGAATAACTTTTTTTCTGGAAAACTCCCACCAAAATGCTTTTGAACGCTTATAAACAATATATTGAGCTGTCACTGGAATAAAATTATTCCAACAGCTGTCGGACGAGTGGCTTGAATTGACAGCAGTTGGTTTCAGATTTTTCATCTCACTTACACGACTTATACTTTTAAGCTTGTTTTTCTATCAAAATTTAGTTTTACTCCTCCCGATACCCACCTTACTAGCGGCCAAAATTTTGAAAAAATTATCATTCCAAATAAATTGTCAAAGTCTTAGAATATACAATCGAATATAAGTTTCCAATTTTATTACCAAAAAAAAAAAACTATTTTGATTTAATACTCACAATGGGTTGTGTTGAATGCAATCCAGCTGCTGTAATATCCTTACGTCGAACATCGATATTGGGGGCACCCCCACCTGGTTTTCCCCATGGGCAGTGTTTTACCATTAATTCGTAATACTAGGCGAAAAAGAGAACAAAAAAAACATAATTTATTATTGTTTTTGTTTAATTGCCAATAAATTGTATAAAGATACCGACAAATGAAGAATAACTTCACAAAACAATTATTATTTCCCGCAAAATTTATTAACCATGGCCATAATTATTTAGCCCTTAGGTGGGCTAGCAAATAAATGGCTAAAACGTGACACAATGAGACTAGACACGATAAAAAATTTTTTTTTTGGAAATAAATTATTAGGGGTACATTAGGTTGGAAACGGCATGACAATTTTTTTAATTAAGAAATAAATCTAGCGTGGGAAGTTTAGGGCTTAGCAGATTTCCGCTAATAAGCAATTTTTTAATTTGTAATTTTTTTTTAGTTAGACCTTTTTTATGTATTATTTTTGCCTCCGTGGTCCTCCCTATCAAAAACGCGATGGCGATCTGGCTACTAAATGGAACTTGATAAACGAAAAATAATTCAGAACAGGTCGTCACGTGCTGACAGCTGGTGCATGCTGTTACCTCAGTACTTTGGAGTGAAATCCAAAGGAAACGGCTAACAGGGTAATGTCACAACTGCCTCCGTCCTATTAAATCCTTGGCAGGGCTTGAAAAACACTCTGTATCTCGTAACCATTAAGTTGGTGATGCAGGTTCTGTTTATACGAAATCCAGATTAGCGCTCTACCTGGACTCGTACTCACCTGGACTCGTACCTTCTGTCAACCCTAGCGAGAACCTCACTGTATGCAAAGGAACGCTCGTCACTTAAATGAGCAACTGCACCATCGGAAACAGATAACGGCTCCAAGATGGGACCCACTAAATCGAACGAATGTCTACCCCATCCACAAGAGAAGAACATATCACGGAAACAATTCCTTTGCGTGACGCAACAGGTGAAATAAATCCATTTCAACGAAGTGGAAAAATAATGAGATCTCCACAACTGGAAAATGACATCTCTTGGTAGTAAGAGTGGCCGAAGACGATTTCAACGTCCAGAAGGAAAATTACCGTGCTCGAAAAAGACACCACGAAGTACCCATAACAATGCTCTTGGAACAGCAGAAGCACACCAGGGCAGCATTGATCCTGGCAGCATAGATCACCCCAACAGGAATTTATTTTAAAAATGAGAAATTCCGAAGAAGAGATGCCGCTCAGCTCTGAAAAAAAAAAATCAGCAAGCAGTCAACAGACAGAGGAACATAAGTATGGACGTCCAAAACGGGGTATTCGAACTGGAGGAATTGCTTAACATATTAGGTGAATAGAGAAGAAACTGGGTAGAGGCTGAAACGGGAAGAGATAAATCCAAAATCTTGACAGAAAAGGCTGAACCAACAACAAATGGTCAGGGAAGTGCAAAATCGCTACAACACAAGTCCAAGTCCAGCGCAAACGTCGTCGTGGTCAAACCAGCAGATGGACTCATATGGATGGATTCATATGCCGAAGTTCTTAAGGATCTGAAGGATAAGGTGAAACCTGAAGACGCAGATATCACTGTTCGCTCAATACGAAAACCTAGAACTGGTGCCATACTTCTAAAACTAGCGAATTAGGAGGTAAAAATGTATTTCTACATATACGGTGGTCGTCGCTAACGTGTTATGTGGTATACCGACTAAAAAACCTCCAAATACTCTTTACCGAATCAGAAATAATCCCAACATGGGACCGGTTTTACCATTACTTCGGGTTGGTTTCCATGTGGCTTCTCTAGCCCCGTCCAGGCCTTCACTCAGTTTGCACTTACTGCAAAGATGCATCGACGTCTCTTTTTTATACCCTCCACCATACTATGGAGGGTATATTAACTTTGACATTCCGTTTGTAACTCCTCGAAATACTCATGTCAGACCAAACAAAGAATAAATATCCTTGATCAGCGTAAAATGCTAAGTCGATTTAGCGATGTCCGTCTGTCTGTCTGTTGTAATCACGCTATCTGTCGAACGAATTGAGATAGAAGGCTACAATTTTGCACACATGTTTATTTTTTCAGTAGGCAGGTTATGTTCGTAAATGGGCCATGTAGGTCCACGTTTTCATATAGCCCCCATTTTGATGATTTCAGCGACATTGTTCATCGGAATTGTTTCAAATTTTCATTTGAAGTTCGAAATGAATACTACAGCCTAAGACAGAAAATTATCTGTGCAGGTCCACGTTTTCGTATAGCCCCCATATAAGTGTACTTCAATATATTCGGTATTTTGATGATTTTAGCGGCATTATTCACCGGAATTGTTTCAAATTTGGTATTCGAAGTTCGTAATGGGAACTACAGTCTGTATAGGCCCCATATATCAGTACATCCCTATATTCGGTATTATATATTTGACGAGTTTAGGTACCAAACCCACCGTAATTGTTTGAGATGTGTAATTGTTTGAGATGTAATGCTTGTTGCACCCAGTGACAGAAAATTTTGCTATGCTGGTCCAGGTCTTCGCACATCTCCGACATAATGGTACCTCCCGATATTCGGTATTTTGATGAGTTTAGCGAAATTATTCACCGTTTATTTCATGTTTCGAATTTAAATATGGTAATGGCTTATGACAAACAATGCCTATGTAGGTCCACGTCGTATAGATCCCAATATAACGGTTATATTTGGTATTTTTAAAATTGTAACAGAATTTTTTAAGGATTTTATGTTTTGAAAATTTTTAAATTCGTTCCAAGTGGTGAAGTGTATTCCAAGTTCGGCCCGGCCGAAATTACTGCTTTTTAACCTGTTTTTATTTGTTTTTTATTTATTTTTTATTTTATTTATTTATTTTATTATTATTAATTTTTTGCTTATTATTAATTATACCCTCCACCTTGGAAAGGAGGGTATATTAACTTTGTCATTCCGTTTGTAACATCCTTAAATATTCGTCGTAGACCCCATAAAGTATATATATTCATAATCAGCATAAAATTCTAAGTCGATTTAACGATGTCCGTCTGTCTGTCTGTCCGTCTGTCTGTCTGTCTGTCCGTCTGTCTGTCTGTTGAAATCACGATACAGCCCACATTATTTGACGTAGAGCGCCAAAATTTAGCAGAGCAATTGGTATTGTGTCTAGGATGGTTGGTATTGAAAATGAGATATATCGGTCCACGTTCTGGTATAGTCCCCATATAACGGTACCTCCCGATATTCGGTATTTTGATGATTTATGCCACATTATTTAACGGATTTGTCTGAAAATTGGTATTTGTAGGTCATAACAGGTCCCTGTATGTGTGGCAAAACATAGCATATATAGGTCCACGTTTTGGTATAGCCTTCATATAATGGTACCTCCCGATATTCGATATTTTGATTATTTTTGCCACAGTTTTTAACGGATTTGTCTAAAAATTGGTATTTGTTGGTCATAATGAGTTCCAGCTCCGGTGGCGAAACATTGCATGTATGGGTCCATGATTTGGTATAGCCCCCATATAACGGTACCTCCGGATATTCGGTATTTTGATGGTTTTTGCAACATTTTTTCACTGATTTGTGTAAAAATTGGTATTTGTGAGTCATAATGGGTCCTAGTTCGTGTGGCGAAACATTGTATGTATAGGTCCACGTTTTGGTATAGTCCCCATATAACGGTAGCTCCCAATATTCGGTATTTTGATGATTTTTGACTGATTTTTTCACGAATTTCACTGAAAATTTGGTAGTTGTAGATCATAATGGGTTCCAGTTCGTGTGGCGAGTCATTGTAATTATAGGTCCACGTTTTGGTATAGCCCCCATATAACGGTACCTCCCGATATTCGGTAATTTGATGATTTTTGAACCTTTTTTCACGTATTTGTCTGAAAATTGGTATTTGTAGGTCATAATGGGTTCTAGCTCCGTTGGCGGAACCTTGCATGTGTAGGTCCACGATTTGGTAGAGCCCCCATATAACGGTACCTCCCGATATTCGGCATTTTAATGGTTTTTGCCACATTTCTTCTAATGTTTCCTTTACCCTAAGGTGGAGGGTATTAAAAGTTTGGCCCGGCCGAACTTAATGTTTTTTTACTTGTTTTTTGATTATTATTATTATTATTATTATTATTATTATTATTATTATTGTTATTATTATTATTATTATTATTATTATTATTATTATTATTATTATTATTATTATTATTATTATTATTATTATTATTATTATTATTATTATTATTATTATTATTATTATTATTATTATTATTATTATTATTATTATTATTATTATTATTATTATTATTATTGTTATTATTATTATTATTATTATTATTATTATTATTATTATTATTATTATTATTATTATTATTATTATTATTATTATTATTATTATTATTATTATTATTATTTTATTATTTTTTTAAATATTAAAATATTTCCAAAGTCTTATATTTTTGCATATTTTTATAAACTATTTTTCGATTATTTACTCCATGAGCCATTCCAACAAATATTAGCAATTAATTTCAAGTTGTTTTACGTTCAGTTATCCCCAGAGGCGAACAAAGCCATATATTTTGTATCGCTTTGATTTATTTCATTCCCTCCGTCGATCCGTGTAATTGTTACTAAACTGTACTAAACTCCTGCCTAAACTCATTTATAGGTTGTTGTTATAGTTGCAAATCGAAACTTTATTCTGACTTTGCCAAAACTGGAACTCTTGCAAAATAGCAGAGGCATTAACCCAAACAGTCACGCAATTGCCAAAAAAAAAAAAAAAACAGAAAAAATAAAAACAAAAAATGAAATGGAATTGGAAACTAAGAAATTCCCATACAACTGTGGCTACGAAATATTTCTTTAAATATACCACTTGTATCCTCCCATGATCTCCCACCCCGTGTAAAGGTTACACCGCTTTATTCCTTTTGGAATTCACATACATTTGTAATGGCATTTCACCTGGGAATGTGTTGAAGTGACAGGCTGCCTTCTTTTGGGGCAACTTTATTTTTGGCAACTGTTCTCTTCTTTCTTTCTTCCGATTCGAAGAAATTTGTCTTTTTGCTGTTGGAATTTGTTATTCGTCTTGGCAGAGGTTATTAACCCTGAAAACAAAAAATGGATTTCCTACTAATATTGTTTATTTCCGTTTAATGTTGAAACTTATTTAAGGTAGGAGGTGTTCGCCTTTGATCATAATGGAAGAATTTTATACATGTGTACAAATATGTGTGTATATTTGACTTAGGCTTATTTTAGGTCCTTTATGGTGGATAGATTGTTGAGACAGGAATTGTTTTGAGAATAATTTGAAAAATTAGTTTTTTCAACAATAAAAAGTATTTTCTGAAATTTGGTAATATAAAACTAAAAAATAATAAAAGAGTATATTAACTAACGTTGGCATAATGTGATAGGAATTAGGGAATTTTTACATTTCCACTTAGCCTTCGTCTTCAAACTTTCACAATTCTTGCCCTCCGCGTTCACTCAACACCTAAATACATCAAAAAAAACAATTTTTTTTCCATAACTACAGCAAAACAAGCAGATAATGAAACAAGTAAAAAACATTAAGTTCGGCCGGGCCAAACTTTTAATATCCTCCACTTTAGGGTAAAGGAAACATTAGAGCCCATTATGACCCACATATACCAACTTTTAGACAAATTCATGGGAAAATGTGCCAAAAATCATCAAAATGCCGAATATCGGGAAATACGGCTATATGGGGCTATACAAAAACGTGGACCTATACATACAGGGTTTAGCCAAAAGTGCTAGAATCCATTAAGACCAACAAATACCATTTTCTAGACAAATCCGTGAAAAAATTTGGCAAAAATCATCAAAATACCGAATATCGGGAGGTACCGTTATATGGGGGGCTATACCAAATCGTGTACCTATAAATGCAATGTTTCGCCAAAGGAGCTGGAACCCATTTGACCTACAAATACCAATTTTTAGACAAATCAGTGAAAAAATGTGGCAAAAACCATCAAAATACCGAATATGGGGAGGTACCGTAATATGGGGGCTATACCAAATCGTGGACCCATACATGCAATGTTTCGCTACCGGAGCTGGAACCCATTGTGACTAGCAAATACCAATTTTTAGACAAATCCGTAACAAAATGTCCATAAAATCATAAAAATACCGAATATCGGGAGGTACCGTTATATGGGGGCTACACCAAAGTGTGGACTTATACATGCAATGTCTCGCCACACGAATTGGGACCCTCATACCAACAATCCATTTTCAATACCAACCATCCTAGACACAATACAAATTGCTTTACTAAATTTTGGTGCTCTACGTCAAATAATGTGGGCTGTATCGTGATTTCAACAGACAGACAGATGGACGGACATCGTTAAATCCACTTAGAATTTTATGCTGATTATGAATATATATACTTTATGGGGTCTACGGCAAATATTTATGGATGTTACAAATGGAATGACAAAGTTAATGTACCCTCCTTTCCAAGGTGGAGGGTATAAAAATCAAATTTTATTATAACTCTTAGAATGCTGGACTAACTTTTAAACTTAAAAGTTTATCTCGAAATCGGTAGAATCAAACTCCAGCTGAATTTATGAAAATCGGTCTATAAAATATAATTTAAGAAAGGCCGTCATTTTAGATTTCTTCAAAAAAGCTGCGAATCGCAATGCAATTGTGAGTGGCTTTCGTGACTTTCTTCCCGAAATACATGTCTTACATGACATGTGATTTTAAGAAGACAGTGGCACATGCAACACTAATTGATTGGCGAGTTCGGTGAACATTTTATGTTCACGTGCGATTTGAAGCCTTTTTAAAATTGTTTGTGGAACTATGTCAATGCTCATGACAATACGGACGATCCCGCTGCAATAGACGCATTGAAAAGCAACATTGACTAATTAAATCATGAGATATAGGCCGAAATGCTGAAAAAATATGCAAAATTTTGATTGAGCGAATGAATCACAAAGCCATTACAATATTCAAATGAATAACGTAGCTAATATCATTAAAATACCGTATATATAGAGAGGTACCGTTATATCGGAGCTATACGAAGTACCTGCACAGACAATTTGCTGTCATAGGCTGTAGTATCCATTACGAACTTCAAATACCAAATTTTAAAACAATTCCGGTGTATAATGTGGCTAAAATCATCCTAATACCGAATACCGGGAGGTACCGTTATATGGGGGCTATACGAAGACGTGCACCTGCACAGACAATTTTCTGTCATAGGCTGTAGTATCCATTACGAACTTCAAATAGGAAATTTGAAACAATACCGACTTTATGATACCATAAACCACTTTGCATATACAAGGTGAGATAAAAAAAAACTGTAACACAGTCAAACGCCATAATTTTTAACATTTTTAAAATTTTATTGAATGAAAGCAAAAAATGTCGCAAATAGCATCAAATTTTAGAATAAGTTTAGATTTGTTCGAATTGGTCACCTTAGGCACGAATTATGGCATTCAAACGGACAAATGTAACCGTCAAACACTGACCAAATGTTGCTCTGCGGTATTTTGACCCATTCCCGGCGAAGCGCTTGCTTGAGATGATCGACATTTTGGTATTTTTTAGTGTCATCCTTGCTTCTCAAAATACTCCAGACACAATAGTCCAACGGAGATTTTGGTGGCTGGAAATGAAACGAGGAACCTCATTTTGTAACCATTCTTGGGTGGCACGTGCTGAGTGCGATGGTGCTGAGTCCAGTTGGAATGTCGAAGGTCTGCGGCCAAAATTTTTGCGTGTCCAAGGCTTTAATACACCCTCCAGAATATTTTCGCGATAATATTCGGCATTTATTCTGGTGCCATGGTCGATTAAAACGAGCGGAGAGTGACCATCGGCTGTTATGGCAGGCCACACCACCACCATGGCCGGTGCATGAGTTCTGGTGGCCAACCGAAGGTGCACATTTTCAGCTGATCTTGCCAAAGGTCAAGTAAACACGACCATTTCCTTTGTTTAAAAACTGCTGGACAACGAATGTTTTCTCATCGAAGAAAACCAATCGAAGCAACGTTTTAGCTCTTTTGAGTCTATTTTCTTTCTGTTGCGGTGTAAGTTCTTGCACTTTTTGGAATTTCAATGGCTTTACCCCGAGCTCATTTTTCAATATTTGCCGAATGGAATATTGCGATATATTCAGCTCACGAGCCATTTTTCGGCCACTGCTACGCAGATTTTCATCAAGCCGCTTCTGTTTTACTTTTCGAACCATTTTTGCTGATGTTGCTGTTTTCTTCCGTCCACTTCTTTGACGTCGGGTTAGGCTACCAGTATCACGGTAACGAGCGATGGTACGATACACAAAAGATTTATTCACTTTTAAATGCTGAAGTTCTCTAACGATAGCCTTGCCACTTGTGGTTTTCCAGCCAAATATAAAGAAATCCCACTACCACGCTTGCAATTCCATCACGAATAGCTTTTTTTCTGGAAAATTCTCACCAAAATGCTTTTGTACGCTTGTAAACAATACAATGAGTTGTCACTGGAATAATTTTAACAGCTGTCGGACGAGTGGCTTAGAAATGACCACAGTCTGAAGTTGGTTGCAGTTTTTCCATCTCACCCTGTATATGGGATCTATAGCTATTTTTGAACCGATTTCCACTAAATTTGGCAATCTCGTTTCTATGCTCAATTTTGGTTATATGTGCCAAATCCTCCATCCTATTTGGACTAATATAATACACATGTGGTGCACAATAAAAGACAAATCGGACGGAGATATGTATGAGAGCTAAATCTAAATTTTGAACGATTATCTCCAATAGGGTTCGTCCTTGGACCAAACAAATATTTTGTGTAAAATTGTATCTTGATCGGAAAATAAATACGATAAATCGACTCCGAATGTGATTCTATGCAGATCATCAAAAGGAACTCTGAGCGAACTCGCTTCTTTCTCTATGTTACAAACAAATGCACAAAGACATAATACCCTGACCATACATAGTGTGATGTAAGGTATAAAAGCGACACAAAACACTAATTTTAAAATTACACCTAATTGAATACGACTTTGATGAAAAATGAAGCCCTTCGGAAACCCATAAACTCCCATTCCAATGCACTTTGTCTCCTCACAACCCATGATAACACCTAGCTATCTCTTTGAATTATTTCCATAATTTTTTTCCTCTGAAGATAATTTGTTCCATCTCACCCTCCACCATACTTACTTCCTGTTTATCCTTTTCTTTGCGTGCCATTTCTTCGGTTTTTCTTCTGCGCCACATACGCATACTTTCCTCGGCATTCTTGCGTTCGACGAGACGCCGCTTCTCATCGCACCACATCAACGGATGTTCGATGTGGTCGTGGCAAAAGGCTTCATCACTGGTCGTCATTATTATGGCCTAGACTCCAACAATGCGTTTCCGAAAAAATACGCGACACAAAAATACGTTCTCTACATTACGTGAGCCACCAGCGGAAGTGGCTTTTGTCGTATTTCTTTTGAGTTTTTTATTTCTTCTTCGAGTTTTTTTCTTCTCACACCCGTAGATCACATCGACTTTGGACGACGCGTTCTTTAATATCTTTGAAAATAAATTTGATTTTATGTGTTCCCTTCCTTTCTTTTTTTTTGTCAAGGATAATTCAACCGGAAGTATAGAGTGAGTGAGTGTTGCGTTCAAGTTATTGTTCGAAACTGAACTTCAATGCAAAATCTCCTACCAAACAAGAAATTGGCAATACAACAAAAATAAGGTACACTAACCAGCCACTAGTACCTCTGCTGCTGCCACTATTTGTTAGCAAACTAACGATGGGCATAAGGTTCGAATGTATGTTTGTGTGTGCATGACAAAGTTGAGGCACCTATTATGCCCGTACCAGGATGTGCCTTGCCAAGACGTATTTATGTGGAAGAAAAATGTGGCTCGAGGCAGACAGTCTGCTAGACGGGCAACAGAATTGGATGCGCGCGCTTTAATATTTCCATATGCGGAGCTAGGCAGCATGTCTTCGCTGCTGGCATGGTTAGGTGCCTTTCACATTTATGCACGTGAGCTATTTTAATAACAAAAAAACAACAACAATAACACAAACTATATTTCCTTAGCCAATAAATGTGTTATACAGACAAATCCAATATTCCAGCAAATCATAAATGTTCCACTATTCTTATCCCCTCCCTTCCTCTCTCTTCTATTTGCCATATTGTTGCACATATCTAGACAATGTCCTTGTCAATTATGCTCAAATATACGTCAATATCATCAATCCTTTGTTTTACTCTCAAGTCAAGTCAATTTGTTTATTTTTTGTTTTGTAATCGCACCATGTCAGGATAACTGGGTAACTGGTCTAGCAAATATTTGGCCATTTCAGTTTGGCAATGTAAACATATCACCATCGCCCCTATCATCTGATCGGAACATAAACACGAATCAGCCAACTGACCCCATTTGAATATTTGAAAATTGTTTTTTTCTCTCTTTTGTTTAAATTGCCGTCGAATTGAAAAGTTCAATTTAAAGTGATTTGTAAACAATCAAGTGAAATTTGAAGCAACTGTATGGAAACCCGAATGCTATGCATAGCCTTAAAGGAATGTTTCTATTGACAATCGGATTTTTAGAATCAAGTCCTTCAAAATTTATGGAATTTTTGCCAGAAAGTCTTTTGGAAAAAAAAATGGAAAATCTTAAAAAAAGAAACACCAAAATTTCGAAATTTTCAAAAATTTTTTTAAAATTTTCGCAAAAAAAATTGGATAATCTTTGAAAAAATTCAAAATTTTGAAAATATAATTTTTTTTAATCAAGTCCTTCAAAAATTGTAGAATTTTTTCCAAAATTTAAAAAAATTAGAAAATCTTTGAAACAAACACCAAAATTTCGAAGTGCTTCAAAATTTTTAAATTTGTCGCCAGAGAATCCTTTGGAAAAAATTGAAAATCTTTAAAAAATCCAAAAATTCCGAGCACTTAATTTTTTTAATTCACGATTCCTCTGCAGATAAAACCTTCGAGAAAATTAAAATAGTAAATCCAAATTTTTCAGTCCTAAAAAAACAAATTTTTGAAAAATCCACGACTTGTTGGCTCCCTAAATAACAAGTTTTTATAAAAAAAAAGCAGGGAGCCCTAAAAACAAATTCTTGAAAAAAACCGATTTCTTGGCTCCTTAAAAAGTCATTGAAAAAATTCTTGAACATTTAACGATTTTTGTGGAGAAAGCCTTTGGAGAAAAGTTAAAAAAAAAATCAATATTTTTGATATGAATTCGTTATTTTTATTAATTCACGACTTTGTGGGTTCTTAAAAGAGTCGTTAAAAAAATCCTTGAAAAATTCTTGAAAACTTTACGATTTTTGTGCAGAAAGGCCTCAAAGAAAATTTTATAGAAATCAAAATTTTTGATATGAAATCATTTAATTTTTTTTAAAGTTCCATGACTTTTTGGCTTCTTAAAAGAGGAGTTAAAAAATCCTCAAAAAATAACAAAACCCTCGAAAAATTCTTAAAAAAAATCCTTAAAAAAGTTTTAATAAAATAAACCAGAAGGAAGCCAATTATCAGTTTATCAATGGCTTTAAAAAATTCCAGTCCTAAAAAACAAACTGATGAAAAACACATAACTTTTTGGCTCGTTAAAAAAATCCTCGAAAAAATGCATTAACATTTTACGATTTTTGCGTAGAAAGCTCTCGAAGAAAAGTTAAAAAAAAACTCAAGATTTTTGATATGAAGTCCTAAAAAACAAAATTTTCAAAAGTCCACAACATTTTGAATTCTTAAGAAAGCGCTGAATATTTTTTTTTTTAACTTTTCGATTTTTTGCAGAAAGTCCTCGAAGAAAAGTCGAAAAAAGATTTTTGATATGAAGACTAAAAAACAAATTCTTCAAAAAATAAATTCTTAAAAAATCAACGACTTTTTGGCATCCTAAAAAAGTCCTGAATTTTTATACCCTCAGCCATATGCCTAGAGAGGGTATATATCATTTGATACGGGCAAGACGAGCCTCATCGAAATAAACGTTTTAGACCCTAGGACTCTTTGGACCAAATCCGTTTCAGAACATTTGGAGTCGATGTAGCGATGTCCGTCCGTCCGTCCGCCTGCCTGTCTGGCTGGTGCGCACGATAACTCTCGAAGGGAATATCCGATATGGCCCAAACTTGATACATCGGAATATTATTATCAAACTTAGATAGAATTCGGAAATGGGCAATATCGGCATACTGGTACCTCCCCCACAAATTGTCAACATTTTTAAAGAAAATAATTTACTGCACAGAAAGAGAAAGGATAATCCAATTTTGCTCCAAATTTGCAAATCTTAGTATTTGCATCAGTGCTAGGTCAAGTGCAAAAATGGACAATATCTGTCCACTCCATTAAGTACCTACCCCACAAAGGGTCAACATTTTGAATAATTATAACTCTTATAAAATATGATTTAAGAGTTCGATTGTCTCCAACTTACACGGACCACACTATATTTCTTAACCCAAGGTTTGTTCTAGCCACCGGAGCTAGAACACATCATGGCCAACAAATTTCAATGTTTAGACAAATATGTGAAAAAAATCATCAAAGTACCGAAAATACTGAATATCGGGAGATACCCTTGTATGAGGACTATACCAAAACAGTTGTTCGCCACACGAGCTAGAGCCCATTATGTTCTACAAATACCAATTTTAAGACAAATCCGTTAAAAAAAAGTGGCAAAAATCATCAAAATACCGAATATCGGAAGGTGCCGTTATAATGGGACTATCTCATTTTCAATACCAACCATCCTTGGCACAATACAAATTGTTCTGCTGAATGTTGATGATCTGCGTCAAATAATGTGGGCTCTATCTTGATACAAACAGACGGGCATCGTTAAATCAGCTTAGAATTTTATGCTGATTATGAATATATATACATTATGAGGTCTACGATGAATATTTAGGAATGTTACAAACGGAATGACAAGCTTAATATACCCTCCTTTCCAAGGCAGAGGATATAAAAACCAACAGGAAACCCTTAAAAAGGTTTAAAAAATCCAGATTTTTCAGTCCTGGAAAACAAATTTTTAACAAATCATCAACTTTTTGACTTCTTAAAAAGTTTTTCAAAAAATCCTCAAAAAAATGTTTAGAAAAATCTTTTAGTTTTTGGCACAAATTCTTGAAAATACCACGACTTTTGGGTCCCTAAAAAAGTTCTTGAAAAAGAAATCCTCAAAAATGCACGTATTTTGTACAGAAAGTCCTCGACGAAAAGTTAAAAAAAAATTAAAGTTTTTTATATGAAGTCCTTATAATTTTTGGATAGTCCAGAGAGTTCTTTGAAAATCCTTGAAAACAGACAAATATTTTCTACAGAAAAAAATTAAAAATTCAAGACTTTTGTGCAAAAAATTCCAAAAACTACAAAACTAATTCTTCACGATTTTTGTGCAGAAAGCCATCGAAGAAAAATTTTAAAAAATTCATATCAACACTTTTAAAAAAAACTATTTTTTTGCTGCTTCTTCAATAATTTTGTTTTTTACGGTTTTACAGTGTAATTTTCGATTAACTGAAAAAAATGAATTTTGTATACCACGATCGACTGAAGGTATACAGCTGACATTAACAAAAGGTCAATCAAATCGCTTGTAATCAAAACCTGTAAAGAAAGTCTTAAAGTCGCGCGGGACCGACTTTATGATACCCTACTTCAATTTGCTAACTTAGTACAGCTCCGCATAACAATTAAAAGTTTTTATGGGAGAATTCAATCACACACGCTCTGATAATAATTATAATTTAAAGTTCAAAGGACTAAATATAAAATTTGACTAAGATATTTCTGAGCTGTGCTTGATATATTTCCCTGAATATCGTTGTTATTTCCCTGAATATTACGGTTGTGGGTAACAAATATAACAAATCGGATAAACAATATATATAGAAGCTATAGCTATATCTGAACCGATTTTCACCAAATTCGACATACTAGCTTCTAGACTCAATTCGGTCGTAAGTGCCAAATTCCATCCCAATTCGACAAATATTAGACGTTTGGTGCACAATAAAAAGTAAATCAGACTAAGTAATATATGGGAGCTATATCCAAATCAGAACCGATCTCGATAAAATTTAGCAAATTTATTTCTGAGCTGTATTTAATATATTTCCGCAAATATTGTTGTTACAGAGTGCATAACAAATCGGATGAGCAATATATATGGGAGCTATAGCTATATCTGAACGGATTTCGATCAAATTCGGCATACCTATTTTCAGGCCTAATTTGGTTGTATGTGAAAAATGCCATACTATTCGTGCTGATATTATACGTTTGGTACACAATAAAAAGCAAATCGGACGAAGATAAGTATGAGAGCTATATCTAAATTTTGACCGATTATCTCCAATTTCAATAAAGTTCGTCCTTGGGTCAAACAAATGTTCATCTGGATCGGGTAATAAATGCGAGCTGTACTTTGTTTACAAAAATACATGGACAAACTGACGGACAGACAGATGGACGGACGGACGGACATGCATAAATCGACTCAGAATGTGTTTGTATGTAGATCATCAAAAGGAACTATGGGTCTATATCGTTTCCTTTTGCCTGTTACAAACAAATGCACAAAGACATAATACCCTGACCATGCTTTGCCCGTTCATGCTTTAACCCTTGCATTTTATTTACCAATTTTATTTATTTATTCAAAAATCCTGCCAATTCCAGTTTTATTTGTGTTATTTATTCCGACGAAATTTCTAATCTACTTATCAACAAATATTTCCCTATTCAAATTATTCATCTATTAAATTCGAAAATATTGAATAAATATTTATTTAACTTAACAAAAATTGAATTATTAATCGACAACTCATAAAATGCTGCTCACCTCCCACCACCCAATACCAAATGT